GCAAAATACTCAAAATTCACTGGTCGGATACTATCAGCAACAGAGTTTTATGTGAGAGGACAAAACAGCTTCCAGCCGAATAGGAAATTAGGAAAAGACATTGGAAGTGGATAGGACATACATTATGGAAATCACCAAAATGCATTACAAGGCAATCCCTAACTTGGAATGGTGAAGGGAAGCGGAAAAGTGGAAGGCCAAAGAACACATTACGCCAGGAAATAGAAACAGATATGAAAAGGATGAATGTTAACTGAAAAGAACTGGAAATGATTGTTTCGGACAGGGTTGGATGGAGAATGCTGGTGGTCGGCTTATGCTCCTCGACGAGGGGTAACAGGTGTAAGTAAGTAAGTATATGACTGATATTACAAACAGTATCTGGTGAATATTATAGTTTATTAAAGATTTAGTCATACAAGTAGTCAAACTACAGAAATAGTTTCCTCACTATGGAAATATTAATTTATTAAGTATAGTTTTGCTCTTCACATTATTTCTCTTTATCATCCTTATTTTCTCTTGCCACTGATTTTAATATCATTCTGTTTTGTCAGGTATATCGAAAAAGTTATCATATTGATTTTTAAGAGACAAAATCCGTCAATAAACTTAGTTGGTCAGTTAGTCAGCTACGGCGTAGGACCACGCACATATATATATCGGTCCTATTTGCCACACTTCATTAGAACAACAAGATGAACACCGAATCCTTAGAAGTAGTTACTTCAATGGTAGTAGTATTAAAAAGGAAGATTGAATATAAGGATATAATATAGGAAGAAAGAATTATTTTGTAGGAAGGAAGATATATAGTAGTTTTAATCTCATAGTTTAAGGGAAGACAGGGAACGTATACACCTACACCATTGTGATCGATTCTGAGCCGTGTCACTCAGGTGGTCACGCCGACCCAAACTAAGTAGTTTGCATCTACCATCATGGCTCAGACTAGAAGTTTGTGACTTAATGGACTAATGACAGTTTTTGGTTTGGCAACCCCTAAAAATCAATATACTTCACTGACTTAATATCCTCTTCATACATATGTATGTGAAAGTGTTGATTAATTTTTTAAAATGCCGATAATATGAAAGAATTACAAGTCGGTTGAATACCCTCTGTAACGTTGTGTTCACTGAACCTGAGCGTTTTTTATAAGAAGATTTAACTAACGAAAGTTTGAATCGTCCCATTGATGTTTAGGACTGTAACCGGTCAGTCTGATTGGCATATGTGCATCCTATGTGGATCGCCTCGATATAGTCTTAGTTTACAAGAATTATAAGGAGAGATGGATAGTGGCTAGCAGTGGAATCCAGTTTGACGCACGTTTCATCCTATTCGAGTCCTGGAGTGAACATTAACTCCACGATGTAGATATATCCAGCTGACAAATCCGAAATAGGATATATCTAAACCGTTATATAAGATTAGAATAGATTAAATGTACCTAAAGTAATTATACTAAAGCTTGTAGGATTAAATGATTTCAGCACATTTTGTATGCTCTCATATACGTACCGATTAGTATAAAAGAAATTAAAATGTAATTTGTGTATAAAATACAAAGTCGTTTATTCTACCAATCAAAAGTGATTCAACTTAGATGAATGGAAAGTGATAGATAGATGGTTCATAACATGATGGAGTCTAGGACACAAGTAAATTAGTATGATTATGTTAGACAAAATCATATATTTGATTGTAAGTATGAAACAATAAAAGTTTTAAAAGAAAGTCATAGTTGGATAACTATTGAAAACCTGGAAGCGTTCAAGAACTGTTTCGTCATATAATAGTAGTACTCTTCAACAGTACGTATTCATGACCTCAACACCGAAAATTAAAAAGGACCTTCAGCGTCGTGGCAAGCTCCTGACTTCTAGATCCCTGTGCCATCATTCTATCAAGATATCTATCTTCAACCGATTCATAACATGCTATGACCAAACCCTATTACCTGCAGTGAATGACTGTCATACAACTGACACGATTGAACTCCAGTGGTCACAACTAACTAGAGTTCCTGGGATCATATCTTGAAGTTAGTCACTAGTGAGCTTTTAAAGGTTATGGGTTACAGGATAAAATTAAGAATTTTGAGGTTTTGTGATATATTGTAACCATGAAATGAGAATCCAATCATCACAGACAATGATACATATCAACTAAACCAGTGTAGGATGTTATACATTTGACTCATCATTTAGTTAAACAAATTACTCTTTAAAATGAATCATTTTTTTTGAAACAAATAGCCCACGTAAAGTTAACTTATGGATATAAACAATTGGTATGATCACATTTGTCTTTATTATGTAGAAAAGGACAATTAAGTAACCATATGTCAACTATATATATATGTATATATATACACCTTATTTAGATCTACGTAGGTGTATATGATGTATAGTTTCATATGTTTTACTCTGCCATATATTCACTGTAGTTATCAGAACTTCCAATAAAACTTGGAAAAAAACAGCTGTTTCAAATGATAAATTCACTTGGTATTGTTTACTTGAATCTTCTATTGATGTTTAGGACGGAACATAATCACTCTCTTATTAGTAAATGTGTATCCTGTGCTGATTGTCTCAATATAACCTTAATTCACAAACATTATAAACAAAGATGGTTAGTGACTAGCGGTGGAATTCAGGACTTAGAAGCTATGTGGACAACGCGATGGCGTTTAAAGCAGACGGTACTAGGTTCAAGTCCGAGAGTGAGCAATAACTCTGAGATGCAGATACATCAAGCTGATAAACCCCGAATAACACGAAATGCGTGTGCTAGATTCCATTGCTTAAAATGTTTTGAATTATGTTTGGTGAAACAAATAGATTCAAACTTCATGCCTATGTCATTAAACAACAATAAGTCCTATAATATGGTAGTGAGTTTAAGTATCAACCTACTTATCGGGATCAAGTGCAATTTAGCTGACGAGTTCGAACAAAATACAATTTTTGGATCCAACATCACTCAATCTTCTAACTTAATGACCAGGTATATATCTGGAATTTGTGCTAGTGAACATTTCGCACCGAGGCGATAATGAGTAATGTTCCAAATAGATCAATTTTTTAAACTGAAAACAAAATACAAGTTATTCCTAGGTGATTGTTATATGTTTGATGAAAGCAGAATTATGTTATTGAACTATTTTGTTCAGTAGATACTTTTGGACGTAATACCTAATGGTGTATAATGTATAACTTATTATAAAGGATATCAAAGGCTCGCTTTCATAGTTGAAATATATTTTGAGTCATCTATACTTCATTATTAGTTTATTATATAAAGTATATACTACTGAAAAATTATCTTTGAAGATACAAGAAAGATGAATGATAATTGTAGGGATTAGTAACTTAGATAGTCGGTTATTTAAGAACTATTGTTCATTGAATAAGTTAAATTTGTGAGATTTCGTTACAGATTGTTTTTAAATAAGCAACCACTGTACATCTAGGCCTATATTGCATTCATATGCAGTGTTTAGTAACTTAATGAATAAAAATCATTTACTCACTAGCAGCTAACTTCGATTCTAATTCTCTAAAGCTCTATTAAGATGTCTTGATCGTAAAAGTTCAGTTAGGATCACTATCAGGGATTGAATATAGTAACTTGTGTATTATGGCTAGCTCGTTACATTTGGATTATTGAGCTGAGATATATATTTCTCATTTCAATTACTCTTTTGTCAACATTATCCAGAACTCATACGACGGACTACAATGCAAAGTGGTGCATGGAGGACAGCTGACAGATGCATTTACAGTAAGGAGCGGAGACAGACAAGGCTGTCTATTCTCTCCCTTTTTCTCTTTCTTCTGGTGATTGACTGGATTATGAAGACTTCGAAATCTGAGGGGAAACACGGAATATAATGGACTTCTCAGAATCAATTAGATGATTTGGAGTTCGCAGATGATCTAGCCCTTCTTTCTCATACACACGAACAAATGCAGACGAAAACAACAAATGTGGCAGCAGCCTCTACATCAATAGGCCTCAACGTACACAAAAAGGATAAAGCAAGATTCTCAAATGCAACACGGAGAACACCAACCCAATCACACTTGATGAAGAAATTCTGGAATAGTTGGAAACATTCACGTATCTGGGAAGCATCATTGATGAACAAGGAGGATCGAATGCAGATGACAAGGCGAGGATTGGCAAAACAAGGGCAGCATTTCTACAATTGAAGAACGTATGGAACTCAAAACATCTCTTAACTAATTTCAAAGTGAGAATCTTCAATAAGAACGTCAAGACAGTTCTACTGTATGGAACTGAAACGTGAAGAACTATTACGATCATCATTAAGAAGGTACATGTATTTATAAACAGTTGTTTACGCAAAATACTCAAAATTCACTGGTCGAATACTATCAGCAACAGAGTTTTATGTGAGACGACAAACCGGCTTCCAGCTGAATAGGAAATTAGGAAAAGACATTGGAAGTGGATCGGACATTCATTAAAGAAATCACCAAACTGCATCACGAGGCAAGCCCTAATTTGGAATCCAAAAGAGAAGCGGGAAACAGAAGACCAAAGAACACATTACGCCAGGAAATAGAAGCAGATATGAAAAGGATGAATGTTAACTGGAAAGAACTGGAAAGGAGTGCTCAGGACAGAGTTGGATGGAGAATGCTGGTGGTCGGCTTATGCTCCTCCACGAGGGGTAACAGACGTAAGTAAGTAAGATAATCAAATTGATGCTATCATATTTCTTTTTTCAGAATATTCTCATTTCTTTTTTCTTTATTTATTACAGCACACTGTAATGTACTGATTTGATAATTGGGAAAAATTTGTGCATAACATATTTTACAATTATAAACCAATCAGTATATCTTTTAAAAGATTTTCTTACATCTATTTGTATGATAATAGTTAGCCCTTGAACCAATCCCATGTCTTTTAAATTATGTGCTTGTGTGCTTAATCCTTTAAGCTATATATATTTGTTTATTATGATGATGTATACCTATCATCTTATTCCATGTATGTTCATATACATGGATGATATGAATATACCCGAGGTAGTTCATTTAAATCATATGTATAAATATATAATAACATACTAACCTACAAAAATGATACTACTTATGAATAGTATTTGATGATATAATATATACACTTACTTCATTACAAAGGTCATCTTGAATAAACTACATTACCCTTGAACTATACATTAATCTTATCATTACTAGTTCTATTCACATACAGTGATATAAAAATTGTTGATGATTTGAATGGATAAACCTTTTTTTGTAATGCGAATAATTCCATGGATACAATGTAGATAATACAGGCGAAAAAAAGAACAAACAAAGTTGCTAATTAAATGAAAATTTTTTTGTTTGCATTAAGTGATCCTTCATTTGTTACTATGGACTCATTATTACATAATTACCAGTAATTTGTCGTTAACTATATATTACACACAAACACACACACAAATGAAAATATTCTACTCAATTCAAATTATACTATTTATTATTATTATTACTATTTCAGTAATATATAATAAATTATTAATAAATCATTATTATTATATGTATTATATTATTATTAACAACAGAAACGATATATCCAATGTTTCAATCTATTGAACAGTACTTACATCTATCACCCCCCATAGAGGAACATAGGTCACCGAATAGCACTCATCATCATCATGCAAATGTATCCTGGCCTATTGATCATTATTCAACAATAAATCAAGAAAAGAAGTCATTGCATTTATTGTCATTATTATTATTATCATTATTGTTGCTATCCTCAAATATGAATAAATGGAAACATCTATTATGTAATACATTCAAAGTATTATATCATTATATTAAAGATGTAATATTTATAATGTTTGGATTATATTTATATATAATGATAAGAAATATACAAATATACAAATTCAATCATCATCCTCATCCCCATAGTGATAGATTTCAATGGTTATTATTATCACTAAGGAATAAAATAAAATACATTCCTAAGCAACTACTTAAATGGTTCAATTCAGTAGTAACCTTAATGAAGTATACTCAAAATTATAACTATAAAATACATTGTATAATATATAAATTATATATGAATTTTACTGTTATCAGTAGTATATCTCAAAATTATTTAATATTTATTTCTAATATATTAAATCAATATAAAGATTCTATCTTATTACATCATTATAAACTATTATTATATATCAATAATTTAATACAAAAATTTTCTTTAGTAACCATAGCAACACATATCAAATATTTAAATAGTTGCTGGGGATATTTATTAAAAATTTATTCTAGATTTATAATTAAATATCAATATAAAAGAAAATTTAAACAACGATCTAATTCAAATTTATTAATTCATTATAATTATTCATATATATTAATAATAAGTAAATTTTATTTATTATTACTTATTATTAATACAGTAGTATGTTTATCAACAAAATATACTAAACATATAAATGTATCATTATTATTCTTAGAAAATAACAACATAGCAACAACAACAACAACAACACCACTACCACCACCACCAACAACAACAACAAATGATTACATGGATACAATAAATGATATTTTAGATACAACAAATGATCTAATATCGAATACATATAATAATCATCATCAAGTACAATCTATATATCATTTTAAACCACCAGATGAAAAACGTCCATGTCGTTATCGTTTTCGTGATGATGTTGAAACTAGTACATTATTAGCTGATTATGTAATCATTGGTTGGCCAATACAAACATATCGTAAACGTTTTGGTCCATTATATAATATTAGTTTATTAGTAACTAATATATTAAAAAATATACAATATAGTATATTTCCTATACGTATTAATCATTTAATAAGAATAGGACAATTTAGTATTTTTCCAGATCCTGGTAGATGTTGGATTAATGTAAATAAAAATAAAAAATATATATTTTTTTTAAATCAACCAGATTGGTCTGGTTTTTCAAAAATTACACAATTACCAGTTGAATATACAAATTATGCTTATAATTCAATTATAAGAATTATGAAACTTGGAGGTAAGTCATTATTGATTGAATACTGACATTTTTTTTGTAACTTTTTTTTAGAACATTTTCAAATAATGTTTACATAGTTACATGTAGAGGAGCTTTTGTCCAAATTAGAGAGGGGGGTGGTGGAGTAGTTCCATAGTATTTAGGTGCCAAGTTGATCTTATTCTCTTACGCCTGTTACCCCTCGTTAAAGAGCATAGGCCGCTCACCAGCATTCTACATCCAACTCTGTCCTGAAGCTTCCTTTCCAGAGTTTAAATGGTTTAAATTATTGTTTCTGGTTAGCGCTTTTTTTAGCGAGTTAGCTTTTCTACGGGATGGGGTCGCTAACCCCATGCCCAACCCTCGTCCTTTACACGGGCTTGGGACCGGCAGTAACACTAGAAAAGCTACAGGCGGAGTTGCCAAGTTGATATAAGACATTAAATAGGAATGAATTGGAAGTAAATCCAATGTTTCACCTGACAATCTAGTCCAAGCTGTTTTCAAAGAAATATAAATTACCTATTTATTATGTGTTTTTTTTGAATGCAATAACAAATAATTGAATAGTTGAATTTATGAATTCAAATAAAGCTAGATCACTTTGGAAAAAAACATTGGGAGTACTACATGATTATAATTGTGCAATGATGAAGATTCTTATACTAGGACCAAATGACCATCTAGTGTTTAAAAGGTTTTTAAAACAGTCTAGTTTTAATCAACTTATGAATTCAACTATTAAACTTACTAAGCTCTCGAAAAACCACCTTCTTTGCTGAAAATAACTTTAATTATCAGAAGGGGTTTTGTGGAGGTTTAATATGTTTCATAGTTGAAAGCATGAGTTAATTGAAGATAGACCACCATGGAAAACCTGGAAATACTAGACGGCCGTTTCGTCCTATTATGAGATTCCTCAGCAGTGCGCATCCACGAACCCGCACTCGCAAGATTCGAAACCAAGACCTACCAGTCTCGAGGCAGAGCCCCTAACCGATAGACCACTGAGCTGGCATCCAACTGATATCAAGAGACAAATCCAGGAGTTCTAGTGAGAAGCAGTGACCAGTGGAGTTCAAACCACGTCTGTCGTGAGATAACAACTCACTGAAGACAATTACTGATTAGTTGCTCAACTTCGTGAATCAGTTGAGGTTAGACATTATTACCTACTAGTCTTTGGTTAGAGACTACTAGGTCCTGGGTTTGGATCTCGTGAAACGGGTTCGTGGATGCGCACTGCTGAAGAGTCCTACTATAGGACGAAACGGCTGTCCAGTGTTTCCAGGTTTCCCATGGTGTTCTAGCTTCAATTGATTCATGCTTTCAACTATAAAAAAAATTTGACAAATGGAATCACAAATTTTTGAGTATTCTATTGATTATTGATATAATGATCTTTGTAGAAACTAATGAGATGATTTTTCATTTATTGTATGTTATTACTTATAAGTAGTATTGTATTCTATAAGTATGTTTTAAGTACAGTATCATTGAATTCGTTTATAGAAAATGCAATAAAAATCAAATATGAATTGAGTTGTATCCAAAAATAAAACTGACAGTAAAAATCATCAATTTTTTAATTGCCTTTTAACCATAAAAATGTTATTTTATACAATAGTATACAATTAAAATGTAGTTTAGAATTGCAATATCAACTCACTGAATAAAATTATGGATGTGTGATTCAATTTCATGGATTGATTAAAGTTAGATATTAACGCCATGGAATGCAAACCAGCTCAGTGTTCTAGTGGATAGGCACATGGACGCGAGATTGATTCGAATCTCATGAGGCGGGATTGTTGATGCACACTGATAACAAGTCCCATGATATGACGATACGGCCGTCCAATACCTTCAGGTTTTCCATGTTATTCTAGCTTCAATTGACTCATGATTTCAACTATAAAAAAATTTGACAAATGAAATCACCAAATTTTTATCACTTTTGAACCATAAAAATGTTATTTTATACGGTAGTATACAATTAAAATTAGTTTACATTTAGGGAGTTGATCAAATGAGAACATATCAACAACAATAAAATGCATAAAAATAACTAAAAGTTTCATTCAAATGAATAATTTGCCTAATGAGATTGATAAAGTTTTAAATTACATGTTTTTCGTTTAATCAACTACTGAAATAATAAATTTGCTCATTAGTGAGTCTCTCCATGAGGTATTGCCTGTAGTTCTAATAAGAAGTAATGACCACTGGAGTTCAACCAGATTTGTTGAGAGATAATAACTCACTCAAGACAATGGTGGATTAGTCGCTCAATTTCGTGGATAGGTTGAATTTAAACATTAACATCACTGGATACCGTCAGGCTTAGTGGTCTATCGGTTAAGTGCTCTGGCGCGAGACTGGTAGGTCTTGGGTTCGAATCTCATGAGGCGAGATATTGGATGCGCAGAGCTGAGGAATCCCACAATAGGACGATTTGGCCGTTCAGTGCTTCCAGGTTTTTCATTGTGGTCTAGCTTCAAATGACTTATGATTTCAACTATATAAAAATTTTTCTAAAATTAATTTTCGATATAAAATTCATTACTCTATTGGATCATATCAAGATTAACTGAATATAGAATGCATTAGGTTTTAACATATCCTAACTTCTTGCATACTATTAAACGCATGTTTTAATGCGATACAGTTTTATTGAAGTTCATAAACAGAATTTTTTTTTCATTATACTCTTACCTTAATTCAATGAATGATAGCTTTAAAGATATGGTATTAAATTGTAAATTTTGACAAGCTATCTAATCCAAGTTAATATCAGAAGGGGTTTATGTGGATATTATAGTAATTTCAATAGTTAAGATCATCAGTCAACTGAAGCTAGACCACAATGGAAAACCTGAAAGTACTAGACCCTTTCTGATATTAATCAATATATGCTCACAAGTGACTGAATTCAAAAGGTATTTCCTAGAGTTCTAGTAAGAACCAATGACCAGTGGAATTCAACCGGTTTTGTTGTGAGATAATAACTTACTGCAGATATAGGTGGAAGGTTGTTGAATTTTGTGGATTAGTTGAAGTTATAGATTAACAGTGTTGAGTACCGACTCAATGTACAGAGGTTAAGCGTTTACACGCGAAACTGATAGGTCCTTGGTTTGAATCTCGTACGGCGGGATCATCGATACGCACTGCTGAGTTGTCTCACAATAGGACGAAATGGCCGTCCATTGCTTCTAAGTTTTTCATAGTGGTCTAGCTTCAATTGATTCACGATCTCATCTATTAAACTTTAGTTTATTAAGTTTAGTTCATTAAGTAATAGACTATCAATTGACATGAATTTCATAGCCATATACTTGTTTATTCAATCAAATAAATAGTTTATCTTGCATTGATTTTGGCGATGTAATGAAACTTTATGACATTTAATATTACATTTGCTTGCTTGATTATGTAATTAGGGATCATATTAGATATTGATAGTTGTATAGATAGATATATATACATTGCATCATCTCCCTTTATTACATAATAAACAAATTTATTTTTAGTAGCCATAAATAATGGTTTTTATCTAGGTGGAATAAAAAAAATTTATTTTTTTGATATTTTCAATGGTATATCTTCCCTCATTGTACTTCTGAGCCATAGATATATGTATATGCATATATATACATAGCCGGAACAAAATAGCCTATTGTTGGTATTAGGGAAAAAATAAGATTTAGCCAATTCAAATATAAGTCAGTAGTTGTATATTAAGAATTGGTCAATTATGAAGTAACTATTATTACTGTTTGTTTTAATCTTCCCATCGATGTGTTAGGACTGCAAACTGGTCAGTCTCTAATTGGCATATGTGCATACTGTGCGTATTGCCCAGATATAGCCTAAATTCACAAGCATTGTAAGCAAAGATGGATAGTGGCTAGTAGTGGAATCCAGGACACATGTTTCGTCCTATTTGAGACTCGTCAGATGGATGTACCTGCATCTCAGAGTTGATGTTCACTCTGGAGCGAAAGGTACCGGGTTCGAGTGGCAGGGTGAACATCAACTCTGAGATGCAGGTACATCCAGCTGACGAGTCCCAAATAGGACGATGCGCGAGTCGGACTGGATTCCACTGCTAGCCATTATCCATTTTTGCTTATTATTATTATTAATTGTAGTAATAATGTGTAATAGTAACATTACTAATAATAGTATTCATATTACATTCACTTCATTGGCCATTACTATAAATATTAAGATTAATTATAGACAAGACTTTAAGTATCCAAGTAAATTAGTTTTTTTAAACTCCGGTTTCTATATCTTTTTTTTCAGAAAAACCTTTCGCCCCCCAAAAAAATTATTTTTTTTCTTTTGTTCAATGATATTTTTCAGTCAAATTGTTTCTTGGCTAAAACAAAAAAAAAGATATCCCTTTGATAGTTACCAACTGTGTGTATGTATGTTTTGACTAATTGACATAACAGGACCAAAAAAAGTGAAGTGAACATCATTTTGAAATGAAAATAAATGATCTTGTTTATTGTTTTTAACAACGACAACAACCAAAAAAGAAAAAGGGGAAATAATAATAATAATAATAATCAATATTCATTATTCTATGACCTAAGAGTTTGTTTTTTGACAGGATGTGATTATACGAATAAACAATTAAGTATATTCGGGAAAAAAGAAGCCATATACAATGCATTGCATGCTATGAAGTGGATAACGTGATAGCGTTTGCAGGGAACGGTACTGGGTTCGTGTCCCGGAGTGAATATCAACTCTAAGATGCAGATACATCTAGTTGACTAATCCCAAATAGGACGAAACACGTATCAAACTGGATTCCATTGCTAGCTACTATCAATCTATGCTTATTACTGAAAAACCATAACTATGTAAAGTTGCTAATTTCTAGTTAGTATTCACCACATTAATAATATTGTGGTGTGGTCTATTTATATCCATATAAGTATTATATGGTGATGATCAGACATACAGTGTATTTTGGCAGAAGATCGATAAGGAAAGAACTGTAA